AAGTGTTGGCATTGAGTTATGATGACCTACCGTATTACTTAAAACCATGTTTTTTATATTTAGGTCATTATCCTGAAGACTGTAATATTTGGGTGAGCAAATTGACTAAGTTATGGGTGGCAGAAGGTCTTATTTCCTTGAGACAACAAAGACATGGTTTGGGGGAAACAATGGAGGATATAGCACGTGATTGCTTAAGTGAGTTGGTGGAAAAGTGTTTGGTTCAAGTGGGAACACGTGGTTCAACTGGGACAATTAAAACTTGTCGAATCCATGATCTTGTACGAGACATGTGTTTGTTAAAGGCAAAAGAGGAAAGCTTTTTCCAGATTAACTATTCTTTGCAAGAAAATGAGGCAGCTAATCCATTTACTTCTTCTATGGCAGCCAAGGCAGCACAATTGGGGAAAATTCGAAGACTTGCAATTTACTTGGATGAGAACGCAGATAGGTTGGTTTCTTCAAGAGATGAAACAAATGGGCACGTAAGGTCTCTATTATTCTATGGCCTAAGAGAATGGAAGCCAAAAAGTGAAAAAGTATTACTATCTCCGTTGAAGGATTTCAAAGTGCTTAGAGTTTTGAAGGTTGAAGGTCTTTATAAAGTAGAAGTAGAGTTGCCAAGTGAAATTGGAAATATGGTACACTTAAGGTTTCTAAGCGTGAGGAGTAGCGAAATAAAAAAGTTTCCGCCATCCCTAGGTAATTTAGTATGCTTGCAAACTCTTGATTTTCGTGTTTCAAGTTATATCAACATGGTCATCCCAAATGTGATAAAGAAGATGAAACAATTAAGACATTTATATTTACCCTTGAATTACACAGCAAAGGATAACATGGAGCTGTCTACTCTTGGCCATCTACAGACCTTATATAACATTTCAAGCAAGTATTGTGATTTGAGAGATGTTGGTAGATTAACCAATCTTAGAAAATTGAGAATAAGACTGTCAAGGTCTTTGCAAAATCTGGAGGAAATCTTAAAATCTACAGGCAGCATGCTTAACCGTATCCGGTCTCTAATTGTAGATAACAAAATGAATAGCGGTGAAGAGCAAGCTATGCAAATAGTATCAAGCTGTTGGCATATATACAAATTGGAGTTGGTAGGGCCAATCACAGAATTACCGAAAGAGCTCCACAACTATCCAAACCTCACCAAGTTAGTATTGTGGGAATGTGTTCTCAAGGAGGACCAAATGGGAATACTAGAGAAGCTGCGAAACCTAACAACTTTGCGCCTTGGATATAACACTTTCCATGACAATACAAAGATACTGGTTTTCTCCAAAGGAGGCTTTCCTTCTCTTCAATTTCTTTATGTTTCTAGTATGAACCAAATAACAGAGCTGAGGGTAGAGGAAGGAGCCATGCCTAGTCTCTGCCGATTGAGGATTTCATATTGCAGGGG